CAGAAAGAGAAGTGAGAGAGAATGGGCCAGAAGAAATATTGAAGAAATATTGACTGGCCAGGAATTTTCCAAAAATAATAAAAGGTATCAAATCCTAGATCCAAGAAGATTGGAGTGCCTGAACCAGGTGTATACAAACACACAAAGACACACACACAGACACACACACTCTCATACTTCTAGGCACATCATATTCAAACTGGTAAAAACCAAAAAGAAAGACAAAATCTTTAAAAAAAATTTTTTTTAATGTTTATTTATCTTTGAGACAGAGAGAGACAGATCATGAACGGGGGAGGGTCAGAGAGAGAGGGAGACACAGAATCTGAAGCAGGCTCCAGGCTCTGAGCTGTCAGCACAGAGCCCAATGCGGGGCTCGAACTCACAGACCGTGAGATCATGACCTGAGCTGGTCAGAAATTCAACTGACTGAGCCACCCAGGTGCCCCAGAGAAAGAGAAAACCTTGAAGGCAGTTGGAGAAAATGGACAGAATACACACAGAAGAACAGAGGTAAGATTTATGGCAGACATATTATCAGAAAATATGAAATCCAGAAGATAATAAAGTGACATCTGTCAAGTGCTAGAGGAAAACTTCATTCAACTCAGAAAATTATACCCAGCAAAAATGTCTTTCAAAAGTGAAGGAAGGGTGCCTGGGTAGCTCAGTTGGTCAAGTGACCAATTCTTGATCTGAGCTCAAGTCATGATCTCATGGTTCATGAGACTGAGTCCCACATCTGGCTCTGCGCTGATAGTGTGGAGCATGCTTGGGATTCTTTCTCCCTCTTCTCTCTGCCCCTTCCCCACTCATGCATGCATGCTCTTGCATGCATGCTCTCTCTCTCTCAAAAATAAATAAGTAAACATGAAAACATTTTTAAAAATGAAGGAAAGGGGCACCTGGGTGGCTCAGTTGGTTAAGTGACCAACCCTTAATTTTAGCTCAGGTCAGGTCATGATCTCATGATGGAGAGATTGAATCTCAAGTTGGGCTCTGTGCTGGGCATGGACCCTGCTTAAGATTCTCTCTCTCTCTCTCTCTCTCTCTCTCTCTCTCTCTCTCTCTGCCTCTCCCCATTCGCATGTGCATGCACACTCTCTCTCTCTTTCACAAAAATAAATGAAGGAAATTGGGGTGTCTGGGTGGCTCAGTCGGTTGAGTGTCCGACTTCAGCTCAGGTCATGATCTCACAGCTCGTGAGTTCGAGCCCCGCGTTGGTCTCTGTGCTGACAGCTCAGAGCCTGGAGCCTGCTTTGGATTCTGTGCCTCCCTCTCTCTCTACCCTAACCCACTCGCATTCTGTCTCTGTCTCTCTCAAAAATAAATAAACATTAAAAAAAATTAAAAAAAAATAAATGAAGGAAAAAGGGAGACATTCGGACAGACTGAGAGAATTAATTATTAGCAGACCTGCTCTACAAAAAATGTTAAGGGAAGTTTTTCAGGCATGAGGAATATGATAGCAGGCAGAAACTTGGAAATACACAAGGAAATGAAGATCTCACAAAGTGGTTTAAGTGAAGATAAATAAAAAAAACTTTTATGTCTCATTTTAAATTACTCTAAAAATTAATTGTTGAAAATAAAAATTTCAGCGATATATTTTGGGTTTATAATTTATATAAAAATATTGTATGACACTGGAAGTGCAAAGGTTAGTAGGAAGGAGTTAGGAATATACTGTTAGAAGATTGTTACACTACATGTGAAGCAGTATAATAGAATTTGAAAGTTAACTGTAATTAAACATGTAAATAGTACACATAGGGAAACCATTACAAAAAATTTTTTAAAGTATGTAAAAAGGCAATAGTGGTAATAGAATGGAATCTGAAAAGTATTCAATCCAACATCAGGAAGGTAAAGAGGAAAAAAGGAACAAAGAATGGATAGAACAAATAGTAAACAAGTAACAAGATGGCAGGTTTTACTCCAACCATATTAATATTTACATTAAATACAAATGATCTAAGCACATCAATTAAAAGAGCCAGATCAGTTAAAGAAGTAAGAGTCAACTATTTGCTACCTATAGGAAAGCCACTTTAAATAAAAATACAGACTAAAAGTCATTCCTATTATTATCTGGCATGTTAATTAAAAGCATTTACTAATAATTCATTTTACATAATTCTTTTAACCTAAGAGACTCTGTTCTTTGTTATTTTTTGGCTGCAAACTGAAGCTAAGAAGAAATTTAAAATTCCATTCTACACACAGTAGTTGTCTGTTTCGTTTCTTCTATTATGGAATAGTATTACTTCACTTGCTTAGATTTGCTCTTATATTACATGGTGTTTGCTGAGTATAAACATTCCTCTGTAGTCTTTCTAATCGTTGCTGATTCACTTTGGCCTCTCTCTTGGCTGTTTGTCTTCTTAGAATTTTTCTTATAATTTAACATTTGCCTCCACTTTTCATTTGCTTTTTTCAAGTTTCAGTTTTTAGAATATTCTGTGTGGTATGTTATTTTTTTGTAAAAGCATGACCATGAATTTTCTTGCTGCTGTGAGTCTGGGGAAGCTGAGTGTTTTTAAAGAGCAATTTGTTTTCTCAGGAAGATTCCCAAAGGCACATTATTTTCCAAGTCACTTTTGGAATACTTTATTTTGGTAATTAGTCTCTTTAACACACAAGGATTATTAGTTTCAAAGATGCCAAGCCTGTGAACCAGTTAAAAAGGACAGCCATTGTCAAAAAATTTTAGAGGCAAAATTTAGTTTGCAAAATATTTCCTGGTTAGTTCCTCAAGGTCTGTCAAGTACTGTCTGTGAGTAGTAGTTAATTGACATGTCTGTGTCTTCAACATCAATTATTTTTAAGTAGGAAGTCTACCAGGTAAAGAGGAATCTTTATTTATATTTTAGATTGGGAGGAATGATAGAGCAACAGTACTCCCAGGGACAGTAGGTTTGTCCAAATGGTTTTGAGGGTTGTGAGTGTGTACCTTGTTGCTGTGCCCATAGCCTGGGCTTTGAATATTGTCATGGAATCTAGTATTAGAATATATAATGAGAATATATCAGGAGAAGTAATGGGTACAGAACTTGAATTATTTCCAAGGGGGATTAGGTGATTTATTTTATTTATTAAAAAATTTTTGTTTAATGTTTGTTTATTTTTGAAAGAGAGAGAGTATGAGCTGGGAATGGGCAGAGAGAGAGGACACAGAATGCGAAGCAGGCTCCAGCCTGAGCTGTCAGCACAGAGCCCGACATGGGGCTCGAGCCCATGAACCGGGAGATCTGAGCCAGAGTCGGTTGTTCAACTGACTGAGCCACCCAGGCGCCCCGGATTAGGTGATTTAGAACATGATCTCTAAAATAAAAAGTATCTCAAGGTTGAATAGTGTGTTATGTAAAACGTATACTTGTCCATAGTATGCCTTACGAAGCTAAAAAGAATCTAAAGTGCTAATAGGATGAAATGACCAAATATATAATTATCTTACTTTGTTGTGTGTTTATTTGTGTGTCTGCATATGTATGTGTATGCTCATGTGCTTGTAAGTGTGAGTGAGAATGTGAGAGAGAGTGTATATGTACACACATTTTCTTATGTGTGGTCAATTAGGCATTGAGTGTGGGTGCTCCTTTCCCAATATTGTGGTCTGATTCAAGTTCTTAGAACCAAATAATTCAGTTTTTTTTTTTTTATTTTTTTTTCAACGTTTATTTATGTATTTTTGGGACAGAGAGAAACAGCATGAACGGGGGAGGGGCAGAGAGAGAAGGAGACACAGCATTGGAAACAGGCTCCAGGCTCCGAGCCATCAGCCCAGAGCCCGACGCGGGGCTCGAACTCACGGACCGCGAGATCGTGACCTGGCTGAAGTCGGACGCTCAACCGACTGCGCCACCCAGGCGCCCCAATAATTCAGTTTTTAAGTGAGGAGAGAGGTAGCTGAGAAAATGAGAGACGTGGGAGGGTAGGAGAAAACCAGGAGAGTATAGGCCTGTGGAAGCCGCAATAGGGAAGTGCTCAAAGATGTGTCATTGCTGCTGGAGGTCTAGAACAGTACAAACCTGTATGGTAGCCTCAAGTTGCTATCGAGGACTTGAGATGCGACTAGTGCAAATTGAAATGTGTTGTAAGCGTAAAATAAAATGTACACCATGGGCACCTAAAATGAATATGATATCATAGGGCAATTATGTTTCAGTTTAAAAAATGCACACCCGGCATGCCTGGCTTACTCAGTCGGTTAAGTATCCAGCCCTTGTTTTCAGCTCAGGTCCTGATCTTATGGTCGGTGCCCCATACTGGATTCTGCTTTGACAGCGCAAAGCTTACTTGGGATTCTTTCTCTCCCTCTTCTCTCCCCAGTTTGCTCGCTCTCTCTCTCTCTCTCTCTCTCTCTCTCAAAAAATAAATAAATAAATAAACACTGAAAAAGTGCATACCAAATTTCAGAAACAGGTACAAAATCAAGAATGAAAAATATTTCACCAGTACTTTTGAAAGTAATGATTACATGTTGAAATGATAATGTTTGGGATACTGGGTTCAATAAAGTATAATCTTAAAATGTCACCTACTTCTTTTTATTTTTGAAAAATATGGCCACTAGAAGTTTTTAATGGCACGTATGGCTTGCGTCCTATTTGTCTTGCAGAGTTTGGCAACATGGAGGTTGTTCGCAAACTTGGTAAAAGTAGGCTGCCTGAGATTAAGTAATGTGTAGCAAATTCTTTATACTCAGATGAGACCGAATCATTACCTTATACTGTTAAGTCTAAAGTTAAATAACAAAACTTACCACTAACATTTCTCCTAGACTTTTTGGTGTGTACCTAAGTGATTTAATAATTTTACGCACATTGACAATGTAATATGTAAGTATTTAAATGATTCTTTGAAATAAACTCTCAAATGGCTTTTCAATCTTTTTTTTAACTGGTTTCTTTTTTTCCTTTTTTGTCTTCTTTCTTTTTATTTAATTTATTATTTTTAATTTAAAAAACTTTTTTTTTTTTTTTTGCATATCTGGCCAGGAAACTTCATGGTGTTATGGTCAACTTGCCGCACAACCGTGTTCAAATCTGTCACCAACAGGTTCATTAAAAACCTGGCCTGCTCTGGGATTTGTGCCAGCCTGGTGTGTGTGCCTTTTGACATCATCCTTAGCACTAGTCCTCACTGTTGCTGGTGGATCTACACCATGCTCTTCTGCAAGGTCGTCAAATTTTTGCACAAAGTCTTCTGCTCCGTGACTATCCTCAGCTTCCCTGCCATTGCCTTGGACAGGTAAGATCAGGTAGCCAGGGGTTCACATTTTTTTTTTCCCAAGTGCATGGAAATATTAGCATCACAAAGCAAAATGGCAAATAGTTGGTGTTGCACACTTTGCTTTGTAGTCTGCTTGGGGTCAAGTGAAAGAGAATGAACATTTGAAACAGATGACTCACAAAAGTCATGTTGATTTCACGGCAGCTACAGAAAATAAGACGTTTAGAGAAGATGTGGCATTTGTGGGGGATACATCATGAAGTTGCTGGGGCAGACTGGATCATGATGTTGCTTCAGCTTGGTTGGAATTGGTGGCATTGGTGCTGCAATTTGTAGTAGATTGCGCACCTGATTGATAACTCTGCAATTAGTGCTTTTTGATGTAGGATGAAAATGTTTCTGGAAGAAAAAGGGAACAGTCCAGTGGTTATTTAACAAATGACTATATAACCAGTTGGAGTTGGCAAGACAATGGCAGAATTCTTCCGGAGGATTTATTTCCAAGCCTTTATACTGTGGTGGTGGTTGTTTTCTCTTCCCATCCTCTTTGTAAGGGTGTTCATTTGGAAATGAATCATATTTTAGCTACTGCCATCATACATAATTTGATCAAATTCATCAGGGTCAAGTGTGAAGATTTCAGTAATCAACAGCTTCCTGTCTTCTCTTTTTGTTGATAGCACTTAGTGAAGACCATTTCAGATAATAATACATTTTAGAGAATAGAACTAAACAAGCAGACAAAAGCTGGAAAGCATTTTGCATCCATGAGTACTTTCGATTTCAAGATTTACAGAGAGGAAAAGTTCCTGAGGGGAAGTGTTGGCTCTCTGGCTTTATCCCCATTGATAAATTTAACTACATTTTGGATGAATTTGGAATTTTTAAACTCATTGTCCGTTCAAAACACACTTAATTCCTTAATGATCTACGAGGGCATGGATTACAGAACCAATCTGTGGAGTCACTTCAGCCTCAGACCTGGAATTCTGGTTGAATCAACTGCCCAGGGTCATCTGCATGGAAGGACACAGAGTCACACAAAGTCCCCAGTGTACTAAGAGGAGTCATTGACTTTGCGGGTAAGAGAGAGGGCTCTGGAGCCTTAAGTTAGCTTTAAGTCCTATGCACACTGCTTTTTTGCTGGGTTGCTTTGGGCAAAGTGGCTTAACCTTTCTGAGCCTAAGGTTCCTCAGTAGTAAGAAAAGTTAAGTGAATTATTTATGGCTTGTGCTTGGAAAGGCTGCACCAATATTTGTTTATCTTGAGGTTTCCCTTTTGATTGGCACAGCTTTCCTTAGATATATTGTCTGCAATTATTTTACCGTCAGATCTTGCTAGGAGCCACTCTAGCTCTTTGGGAGTTTGTCACTAGAATTTCACCATCTACAGGGTCAGCAGAAGCAGGTGACAAAGCCAAATGTCACAGGCCAGGGTCTTTTGTGTCTGCATTCCTGTTCATAGGGGTCAGTAACCCAGCAGATGCAGCTAATTGTTACTTTGTGGGTATCTAGACTCCGTAGGCAGGACTTTCTATTTTCTTAGAAGAGAAATCAGAAATCTGGAGTTTTACCATTTTTATTTTTTTTTAAGATTTTATTTTTTAAATGACCTCTACACCCAACGTAGGGCCTGAACTCATGACCCTGAGGTCAAGAGTGGCATGCCTTACCAGCTGAATCCGCCAGGTGCCCTGAGTTTTACTATTTTTAAATGTTGGCAACTAATTTTCATTCGAAAAAGATTATGTGCGTCACTCAATCCCTTCAGCAAGCTGAACGTGCCCCATGTCATGCCATTTTGCCGTGCGTGTCTCTTCCATGCTCAGCAAGATGTCTCTGAATATCTGGAAAGTGCCATCGCACAGCCCTGGAATCGAACAAGGTAAGGTTGGAGTGAAAAGTCCACTTACACCCGGGTGGATGCCCTAATGCATTTTGTGTTTTAACTATTCCATGTTCACAGCAGGGGTCCTTCCCACACTCCTTCTGCCACCTGCTTGGTGAGGTCTTCCATCTTCCGTCTGCGAGATGGGCTTTTCTTTCTTTCTTTTTTTTTTTTTTTTTAACCTTTATTTATTTTTGAGACAGAGAGAGACAGAGGATGAACAGGGGAGGGTCAGAGAGAGAGGGAGACACAGAATCCGAAACAGGCTCCAGGCTCTGCGCGGTCAGCACAGAGCCCGACGCGGGGCTCGAACTCACGGAGCGCGAGATCGTGACCTGAGCCGAAGTCGGCCGCCCAACCGGCTGAGCCACCCAGGTGCCCTGGGCTTTTCTTTCTTGAAAGTGTTCTTCAACCGTTTTGTGGAGATACTATTTACATGTCATAAAATTCACCCATTTTAAGTGTACAAGTTAATGAATCTTCGTATTTTTACAGAGAGGTGCAGCCATCACCGCAACTGACATTTAGAACATTTCCATGACCCTAAAAAGAAACCTCCTGCTCGCTTACAGTCACTTCCCTTTCCCACCTATGGACCAAGGCAACCACTGACCTACCTTCCGTCTCTATTTGTTGCTTTTGTGGACATATCTTATTGTGGAGTCATTCGACTTGTTGTTTTGTGTCGAGCTTCCTTCACTCAGCTTAATGTTTTCAGGGTTCATCCATGCAGTAGCTTTACAGCTTCGTCCCTTTTATCCCCAGTTCTGTTGAGATATAATTGATGTATAGCAATGTAGAAGTTCAAGATATACAGCAGAATGACTGGGTTTACGTATGTTGTGAAATGATTGCCAGAGTAAGTTTAGTTAACATCCATTGTCTTGTACAGAAACTCCCCGACCCCCCAAAAAAGAAAAGAAAAAAATGTGGTGTTTTTCCTTGCAAGGAGAACTCTCAGAATCTACTCTTAAAATTTTGCTCCATTCTTTTTTTTTTTTTTTAATTGTTGAATAAATATTCCCTTGCATGGATATGCCATGTTTTGTTCACCCATTTACTAGTTGACAGGCATCTGGGTCGTTTCCACTTTCTGGCTATTGTGCATCATGCTGCTATGAGCCCTGGAAGATTTTTACAATAGGATGCAGTAAGAGTGTGAACACAGGATTCTGAACATGTTGCCATCGTGCCTAGAAGCTATGCAGTAATCCCCGAGGGTTGGTTCTGGGCCCTCAGTGTTAGACAGGAAAATATGTAAACAATAAGAAATCCTTATTCTGTTTTCAGCCAAAAATCTATTGTATTTTTGCTATGATTTAAAAAAACAAAAGTACATAAGTCGTTTTAGTAGGAAAAAAAAAGACTGGTAAAAAAAATCCTATTTTATTGTACAGAGAAACAGATTACTGTCAAGTGTAAGTAGGGCGTGCATGAAGATGAAGGGAAGACAATCCTTTCTCTCACTTCTTTCTCAGATATTTGTGTCATGGCCCTGAGTCAGCAAGTTAGTTGGGAGGCCACTTCCTACATCATCTTCTAGTGATGTAAACATTAACAAAATGATTTATAGCGAGCCCGTGTGCTTTTCTAATACACAGTGGGAGCCTGGTCTTGTTACCTGTCAGTTGCTAAATGGGAATGTGTTCATGTGTGGGCACAACACCTTTACAGTGGACTGATGAGTTGTGATTAGAAATGTATGCATACTCAGAGAAAGACGTTGAGGGCATGTATAACTCTTTGTTATGTAATTCTTTCCCTCCCAGAAAGAGATCTAGAACACATTTCACCACATTCCATCCATGCCTGATCATCCATGGTCATGTGCTTACATCGTATCTCCCTCAGCCTGGAACATTCTCCCCCCAGCCTGTCCCCTGCCAGACTCCACCACGGTGCCACCTTCTGTTGACATTTTCCCAGGTGCTCCTTTTCCGGTACCTCCTTTGTGCACACCTCTAGAAGAGCCATCATCTCCTGTCATAATTGCTCATCTGCATGCCTTTTTTCCGCATGGAGTTTAGGGATGTTCCTGTGTGTCTTTTCATCTTTGTAACCCAGTGCCTGGTGCAGTACCTGGCATATAGGTGGTGCTCAGAGATCCTTGTGGCAGGGAGGCACGCATGCTTATCTGACCCCATAGGTGATGAATGTTAATAGAGGTGGAAGGTCGACTCCAGCTTTAGCTGACCACAGAGACCTATGCTCACCATAGGTCTGATGGCTGGTGGCAGCCCTTTCATGACAGATATGGTTCTTAGGGTCTGAAGAATTACTCAGTTTCCCTAAATCGTTGGTGATATTGAAACAAAGTGCTTTTGCAGTTCTGATCACGTTGAAGCTTGAAGGAAGAAAGGGCTGATCTGATTTTAACAAAAATCTAATCGTGCAGGCATTTTAGACGTAATTGTTCTTAGGGTCACTGAGTGATTATCATGGGAACAATGGCTATTGAGCAGGAATAATTTTTGTCAGTTGAATTGATTTTGTGCAAGGACCTTGTCAGAGTCCGTCCTTCACATGGGGCTCATCTGCCCTGGGCGGCTTGTAAATGCTAATGATATCCATGCGTGCACTGTGGCCCAAGGCTGCTTTGGATATGTCTGTACACAAATTTCTTTCTCTTAGTGGCTTTGAAAATTGCACTTACGCTCTTCTAGCCCTTGTAAAATTTTTTTTACAAGTTACCCTTTACCGTTAAATTGAAAAAATAGATGTCTTTACGTAGAGGGGAGACATCCTTTATATTGAAGGCACTCTTTGGGATCTAATGCTAGTGGCAATATTTATAACTAGCTATGAAATGAAATGATTTACTTGTTTTCCTTATAGTCTTGAGAGTCCTATATGACAGGGCTCTTCTCTGCTCATTTTTTGAAAAGGTACTTTTTTTGGCCTAGTGTACTTCTATTATGTGGGAAAGTCCTCAAAACTTAAGGTCTAACTTTCTTTTTTTTTTTAATGTTTTTTTAATCTTTATTTATTTTTGGGAGAGAGAGAGAGAGAATGTGAGCAAAGCAGAAACAGAGAGAGAGAGGACACAGAATCCAAAGCAGGCTCCAGGCTCTGAGCTGTCGGCACAGAACCTGACCTGGGGCTAGAACCCACGAACCCCAAGATCATGACCTGATCTGAAGTCGGACGCTCAACCGACTGAGCCACACAGGCGCCCCAACCTTTTTTTTTTTTTAACTTTAAAAAAAAAATGTTTCTAAATTTATTTTTGAGAGAGAGAGTGTGAGCAGGGGAGGGGCAGAGAGAGAGGGGGACAGAGGATCCAATGCAGGCTCCAGGCTGAGAGCAGGGAGCCCGATGTGTTACTTGAACTCACGAACCGTGAGATCGTGACCCGAGCAGAAGCAGGAGGGTTAACCAACTGAGTCACCCAGGTGCCCCAAGGTCTGACTTCCTAATTCCTCCAGTGGTCCCGTGTATCTTAGGCAGGATAAAAGAACTTGACTCATTTTTCCCCCCTCTCGCCTACTTTTGGTGATGTAGATTCCCCGAATGTAAACAGTATCTTCTCCCGTGAAATGAATTTTGCTTGCGCATTTTGCAGGTACTACTCAGTTCTTTATCCGCTGGAGAGAAAGATATCTGACGCCAAGTCCCGTGAACTGGTGATGTACATCTGGGCCCATGCCGTGGTGGCCAGCATTCCTGTGTTCGCAGTGACCAATGTGGCCGACATCTATGCCATGTCCACCTGCACTGAAGTCTGGAGCAACTCGTTGGGCCACCTGGTCTACGTGCTGATCTATAACATCACTACCGTCATCGTGCCCGTGGCTGTGGTCTTCCTCTTCTTGATACTGATCCGACGGGCCCTGAGCGCTAGCCAGAAGAAGAAGGTCATCATAGCAGCTCTCCGGACCCCACAGAACACCATCTCTATCCCCTATGCCTCCCAGCGGGAGGCAGAGCTGCACGCCACCCTGCTCTCCATGGTGATGGTCTTCATCTTATGCAGTGTGCCCTACGCCACCCTGGTTGTCTACCAGACTGTGCTCAACGTCCCCGACACGTCTGTCTTCTTGCTGCTCACTGCCATTTGGCTGCCCAAAGTCTCTCTGCTGGCGAACCCTGTGCTCTTTCTTACTGTGAACAAATCCGTCCGCAAGTGCTTGGTAGGCACGTTGATACAGCTGCATCACCGGTACAGTCGCCGTAATGTGGTGGGCGCAGCTGGTGGGGTGGCTGACGCCAGCCTGGAGCCCAGCCTGCGTTCGGGCAGCCAGCTCCTGGAGATGTTCCACATTGGGCAGCAGCAGATCTTTAAGCCCACGGAGGATGAGGAAGAGAGTGAAGCCAAGTACACTGGCTCAGCCGACCTCCAGGCCAAGGAGATACTTAGCACCTGCCTGGAGGGAGAGGGGGAGCCCCAGTCTGCGCCTCCTAGGCCGCTCCTGGGCGCGGCGGACTCTCTATCCCAGGTGGCGCCAGCGGCCCCCGCAGAACCTGAAACATTGCCCGACAAGTATTCTCTGCAGTTTGGCTTTGGGCCTTTCGAGTTGCCTCCCCAGTGGCTCTCGGAGACCCGAAACAGCAAGAAGCGGCTGCTTCCCCCCTTGGGTAACACCCCAGAGGAGCTTATTCAGACAAAGATGCCCAAGGTAGGCAGGGTGGAGCGGAAGATGAGCAGAAACAATAAAGTGAGCATTTTCCCGAAGGTGGATTCCTAGTAAGGGTTGTAAATCCCTGGAAGCAGCAGGGAGCTCCCGCACCCCTGCCCTCCCTTCACTCTGGCCGGCCCTGCGATTTGTGTGATCTCATTGCAGCCAACTACGGGTTGACTCCTCCTGTGTGGGCCAAATGCTTTTGGAATGAGAGGGAAACCTATACAAAATCAATTGTCCTCTTTATTGAGGGAGTATATATATTTATCTCAGTGATGTGTGTCCTTGGTATAAAGTTGGCGTTCCTCTCTGTGGAGACAAAAGCTGGATGGTGTGGAAAGGGCCTTGCTTGGAGTGGGCCCTCCATGTGCATTTTCTGAGGACCCAGCAGAAATATAGGGAGAGAAGAACATCCGTGAGCTCAAAGGGAGTAGGGGCCTTCTGTGGGAAGCCCAAGATAATTATGGAGGGGTGTGGCCACAAAGAAAATGCCCATTTGATTCACTCAACTATGACAAGTATTAAAAATGTTTAATATTGATCTGTATCTTCAGGGGAGATAGGGACTTGGCATTTGACACCTGATACCTTTTCTCTAGAAGGCCTGATCTTTATGACTCAGTTTCTCCTGAAGCCCTTCGTCTCTTTCACTGGGCTGTAGACAAGGAATGGCTGTCCCACCCCCATCTGACAGACATGGCAACCGCTGTGCCAGGGGGTGAGCAAGGAGATACTCTCTTGATTATCTTGACATTCTTCTAACATCACTGAAGCCTCAGAAAATTATGTCTGCAGTGTTGGTTGGAAAACATTACAAGCACTTTGCCAGGTCTTGCCCCATTAAATTGCATTTTTCAACCAAGGGGAGAGAAGCTAAGAGGTAGAGAAGAAAGACAGAAATGTCCGTACCCTGTAGTCTTCTCTCTTCCGATGTTGATCTCGGGTGAAAGGGGCTATGTCGCAATCAGTAGAAGTGAAGTGCATTGAAAAAGATGATCTTGTGCAAACTTTCGAGATTCAGAGGTAATTTAAAAATGCAGAGTTAGTATAAACTGGATCCTCTGGAAACATCAAGCTAAAAATACTTGATTAGGAAAAGGGGATTCTGCCCCAAAGAGGGAGAGAAGTCTGACAAAGATGGCTTCCTTCTGATGAGGACTCCAGAACCCAGGTGTGGCCAGTCTCGTCTTCAGTCTCTTTGCACAACTATGGTTCTCCCTGCGTTGTGGACACAAAAGAGGAACGGGACAGGGAGAAAGATTTAATCATTTTAAATGCCAAGGCAGCACCTAGCCCAGGTGAGCTCTTCACTTCCTCTTTTCCGGCAAAGTTTTAGCAGGAGTCCAAGGGCATAGAGGAGGAGGAGGACAGTGTCCTCAACAGGTCAGCTTCCTGGGGGCTCTTATAAGCAATTCAAGTCCGTTTTGGGGTAGATTCACCACGCTGAATTCCAACCACAGGTGACACTCTACTTTTAATGAGGGCAAATCAAGTGCCAGCTCCACTGTTCTCTCTAGGACATTTTGTTCTTGTTAATAGTATGTGGGGAGGACCATCCAGTGCCTTGAGCAAGCTTGAGTGAAAGTAGGCATTCTCACTGGCAACCTTCCTTCCGATTCCAAGGGCAGTGGTCCTCACGGAACCCCTCCTTTAACCACACGGGCCCCCTGGCCCTCGGCGGAAGCTCAGACTATGTGTGGGGAGTTTCTTGTGATGTCTGGTGTGGTGTGGTGTCTTGTGATTCCAGAGTATGAACCCAAAGTCCCTTCCTCGGAAGAGGGAAATCCTCCCTCTTTGTGTTTTGTCTCCTTGCAGTGTCGTGCGCTCTTAGCACAAACAGGGGACTGCTACATCCTCTCCGTGTGCCCCCTGCCCCCAGCCCTTTGCATGCCATCTATAGCTTCGTGCCCTGGTAGTTAATGGTGGCCCTTCAAGCTTATCATTCAAAATCTTCCCAATCGTTACAATTTCCACCAAGGAGAAACGTAATCTGTCAGAAAATTGTGTCTACTTTGGAAGAATTGTCAAACGTAGCCACTTTGGTGTTGTTCTGATAATATATATGTACAACTAATGCATTCGGGTGAGGCACAATTGGGTAGTTCTTTCTTATGTATGTTTGAAGCAGATGGTTGACTTCTAGCAGGTCATTGCCAGGTATATTTCTATAGTCTTTGAAGAATTACATTTTAATAAAAAACTGAAAAGTCGTTTCTGAACTCAAAAAAAGTTTAATGAGCTATTTTTTTTTTTGTTTCTTCTTTTCACTCTCAAGTGGGCATATTAATGTAAACCATGAATGTTGAGTTAATCAAAATTACCGTGATAGTGGGAAGGTAGAGGAGAAGTAGACGGGATGATTGTAGGAGACAGCAATCCTCATCTACCCTGACAAGAGGCAAATTATGTCCAAAATGGGTAGTGCAGAAGAGAGTAGAATATACATATTTAGAAATAACGGAGATGTGTGACTGTCCAACAGCTATAAAATTATGGCAGGTCCTGGTCTCTGGGACTCCTTTGTTTGTTTTAAGCCTTTTTGTTATGTTTTAAAACATTCTACATATCTAGATAAAAATACAAATCGATTTGGGGCGCCTGGGTGGCGCAGTCGGTTGAGCGTCCGACTTCAGCCAGGTCACGATCTCGCGGTCCGCGAGTTCGAGCCCCGCGTCGGGCTCTGGGCTGATGGCTCAGAGCCTGGAGCCTGTTTCCGATTCTGTGTCTCCCTCTCTCTCTGCCCCTCGCCCGTTCATGCTCTGTCTCTCTCTGTCCCAAAAATAAATAAACGTTGGAAAAAAAAATTAAAAAAAAAAATACAAATCAACTTTTAAAAACTTCCAGATTTTGCAGCGTACCATCAGACTGAACAAAAGAAAAGAGAAGAAACCATACGCATCATTAAAGGGATTTGAGAAAAATAGGCCATTTAGGTTTTCAGAGTCAGAGTAGCCAATGGCTCTCGGCTGGTATGCTCAAATAACGCTCAGAGAATTCCTTTGGTTCGGCTCTAGGCACTAGGCAATTATAGGGTGTTCTCAATTCTATTTCCCCCCCGTGCCCATATTTCCTCAGTAACTAGGAGAACTATTTCTTCTTTCCTTTTTGGGGGTGTATTTATTACAGTGCATTAAAGAATTATTGCTATTTTTTAAGAGCAAGTTTAAGTAATGCTAGTTTGCTTCAGAAATTTAGAGCCCACTTAATATTTTAGATTTATACAAAAATATCAAGTTTAATGAATTAAACTATTCCGGAGTTTGTTTACTTATTTATAATTGATGTCTACATCTACTTAAGAAAATATCTAAAGTGGGGCTAAGGTGTCAGCACTGAGCCTGGGTGGCTCAGTCGGTTAAGCGCCCGACTTTGGCTCTGGTCATGATCTCACGGTTCATGAGTTCGAGCCCTGTGTTGGGCTCTGGTGCTGACAGCTCAGAGCCTGGGGCCTGCTTCAGATTCTGTGTCTCCCTCTCTCTCTGCCTCTCCTCCGTTCATGCTCTTTCTCTCTCAAAAATAAATAAACGTTGAAAAAAATAATATCTAAGGTGAACATAATGTAAGTACCTTTGCA